CTTCAAGAAGACACACCAATCCTAGATGTGTATGCATCTAACAACAAAGCTTCAAAATTCACAAAGCAAAACCTGATAAGATCTGAAAAGAGAAACAGACAAATCCACTAATATAGTTGGGGACTCTGACACTCTTCTCTCTTTAATTCATAAAACAAGTAGGCAGGAAATCAGCACTAGATATAGGATATAGATGACCTGAATAGCACTATCAACTAAATTGACCTAGGGGGAATTTATAGAACATTCTACCAAACTAAAGCAGATTATACATTCTTCTCACATGCATATAGAATATTCACCAAGATACACTACATTCTGTGCCACAAAAGAAACCTTAAATAAGGAAAATAGAAACTATACAATGTGTGCTTTCAGACCATAATAGCATTAATCTACAAATCTATTCCAGAAATACATCCAGACAACCTCCAAATGTTTTGGAAATTAAACAATATACTTCTAAATAGTCCATGGATCAAGTGAAAAGTCTTCAAGGGAACTAAAAAATACTATGAACTACATAGGGGTCCGAAAACATACTTTTTCTGTATAGGACCAGATAGGAAATCAGCAAAACAATAGATATAAAAATGAGTGTGGCTGTACTCCAAATGAAAACTCACATCTGACAGAATGCTACCACCAACAAATCAACAAACAACAAGTGCCTGTGAGGATGTGGAGAAAAGGGAACCTTATTGCACTGTTAGTGGTAATGCAAACTGGGCAACCACTGTGGAAAACAGTATGGAGTTTCCTTAAAAAATTAAAAATGGAACTGCCTTTTGACCCAGCAATCCCACTTCTGGGAATATATCTTAAGAATACCAAAATACCAATTCAAAAGAATATATGCACCCCTATGTTCATAACAGTGTTATTTACAATAGCCAAGATCTGGAAACAGCCCAAGTGCCCATCAGTAAGATGAGTGAATAAAAAAGCTGGGATACGTTACGCAATGGAATACTACACAGCCATAGAAAAGAAGGGAATCTTACCTTTTGCAACATCAAGGATGGACCTGGAGGTTATTATGCTAAGTGAAATAAGCCAGTCAGAGAAAGACAAATACCATATGATCTCACTTATATGTAGAATCTAATGAACCAAAGAAACTGGCAAACAAAATAGAAACCGAGGCATGGACACACAGAACAGACTGGCAGCTGTCAGAGGGGAAGAGAGAAAGGAGACTGGATGAAAGAAGGTGAAGGGACTAACCAAAAACATATATGCATAATTCATAGACACAGACAACAGAGTAGTGATAGCCAGAGGACAGGGGGCACTGGGTGAAGGTGGGGAAATGGGGATATCTGTAATAGTGTCAACAATAAAAATAAAGTAAAAAAAACAACAACTTCATTTACAAAACATACAGTAGGCCATATTTTACCAAACCCAGAATTAAATGGAAACGTTTATCAAAATTTACAGGATGTTTAAAGGAAAAATTTTAACATCAAATACATATATAGTTGATCCTTATTATTTGCTGGTTCTTTATTTGTGTATTAGCCTATTTTCTAAAATTTACTTGTAATCCTCAAATCAATAGTTGCAGTTTTTCATGGTCATTTGTGGACACAGAGTGGCAAAAAATCTGAGTTGCCTGACATGCATGTGCTCAGGTGAAGTTGAATAAAGTGATGCTCTGCCTTCTTATTTCGGCACTATTCTCTAAAGAAGTGTCCTCTTCACAGTCTATTTAGCTCCACATTTTCCACATTTTGTATTTTTTGTTGGTGATTTTACTATTTAAAGAGGCTCACAAATGGCTGTGGCTGGTGTGGCTCAGTGAATTGATCACCAGTCTGTGAACCAAAAGGTCATGGGTTCCATTCCCTGTCAAGGCACATACCTGGGTTGCAGGCCACATCCCCAGTTGAGGGCACATGAGAGGCAACCAGTCAATGTTTATCTCACACATCAATGTTTCTCTCCCTTTCTCCCTCCTTCCCTCCCTCTCCTCTTTCTAAAAATAAGTAAATAAAATCTTTTAAAAAGTGGCCCACAAATGTAGTGCTGAAATGCTGTATAATGTTCCTGAGGTTAGGAAGGCTGTGATATTCCTTACAGAGAAAATATCTGTTAGGTAAGCTTCATTCAGGCATGAGTTATAGTGATGTTGGCTCTAGGTCCAGTAGTAATGAATCAATAATATATACTAAAAAGGTGTCTTTAAACAGACATACATACAACAAGGTTAGATATTGATTTTCTTTTTTTTTAAGATTTTATTTATTTAGTTTTAGTGAGGGGAAGGGAGGGAGAAAGAAAGGGAGAGAAACATCAATGTGTGGTTGCCTATCATGCACCCCCTACCAGAGACCTGGTCTGCAACCTAGGCATGTGCTCTAACTAGGAATCAAACCAGGGATTCTTTGATTCAGAGGCCAGAACTTAAATACATTGAATCACACCAGCCAGGGCAATTTTCTTTATCACGTGTACAAATGGGCACACACACACTTCGTTTTTGTTTTGCCAAGGAATCTGAAAATGGCAGATATCATGACACTTCAGCATGTATCTCCTACATAACCACAATACCATCATCATACTGTCAGGTACTGACAATAATTCCATAATATCCCCAGTTATCCCCAAAATATCTTGTACAGCTTTATAGGTAGCTCATCCCACCCCAATCCAAGAACTAATCAAAGTTCATTCCTCGCATTTAGTTGTTATGTTTCTTTTAATACAGAAGTCCTCCATCATTTTTGTTTGTTTCCCAGGACATTGTCTGAAGAGTCTCAGCCAGTTGTCTTGTAGAATATCTTTTATTTTGGATGTGTCTCATTGTTTCCTCATGGCATCATTTAACATTTCCCTAGATTTCCTTTCCTTCCTATAAACTAGAAGTTAAGTCTTGGCTCAGTAAGATTCAGGTTAAATATTTCTGATGAGAATACTTCATGGGTAATGTTTTATATTTTTACTGCATCACATCAGGAAAAATACAATGTCAGGCTGCCCTACAGTCACTGATGCTAAGTTTGTTCACTGGCTTAATGTGAACACCAAATCTCTACTGTAAAGGTATACTTCTGCTTTGAATTAAAATGTATAAATATCCAATTTCTTATAAATTTTTACCCAATGGTTTCAGAATCCACTGATAATCTTTGTCTGAATTAATCATTACACCAGCAGTTGGAAAATATTATTCCAGAATCTATCATTTCTTCTTAGCTCTACCATCACTTATCACTTATCAGCTCACAGTATTCTGTAAAAAGTAGAAGAGTTTTCCTTTACTCCTCTTTCCCCCTCTTTTTTTTTTTACAACCACTATGGATGCATGTATTTCTGTTGTTAAATCAATTCCCTTCATTATTCCTTTTAATGCTTAAATTGTCCCAAATTTGGTCAGTGGAAACTCCTTCAAGCTGCCTTCTGTGAACTTTTGACGTGACTTCATTAGTATTTGAGTACTTCCTATGGGCATCTCTGGTTTTAAAAGCTGTATTTTTTATGCTTATTTGTTGAAATCCCTGTAACATCTGTCTACTGGTTTTAGTTCTACTTTTTGCAGGAACAGAACATTGTACTTTTTCCATGTGGGATGTTGTGTTACTTAAACACAGACATTATATCAGGGCAATTCCATGAAACCACTTTACTAACATTATACATGAGCATATAAATAATTAATTTAGACCTACTCATGCTCACTTCATCCCTAATACATTTTAGGAAGCCCATTATACATAATACCTGATTAAATTTCTGAAAGTTACTGCGAGTTTAAAGGGTCATTTTCAAGGTTCCATCAGAATGTTGCCATGTCAAAAAGGGTTGTGTCAAAGGAACCAGGTCTTAATTTCTTATATATAACCTGGGACAGATTCATGTTCTGGCTTGGAGCAAGTTCTTGATGCTACTACAGTAACCACAAAGGTATATGAAATATCATGTTAACACTTAAGGGCTGAGTCACACCCAGCATTAGTTATTAAAATTATCCTAACAATCCTCCAATGTTTTCATATAAGTTTTTGTAGTTTATTATAACTTATTTATACATAAAGGACCTGTAAATGCAGATGTGCCTTCTTTCTGGGTTATACCCAATCGGCACTACATATTACTATACATATTTGCTCAGCTCAGTCAAGAAAAGCCTGTGAGTCTTAAGCAAACAATGTCCCCAACTCACAAAGAAAACCAGTGCCCTGTCCTCTAGAATCAGCACACCTTCGATACATATAGGCAGAAAGGAACCCTCTGGAAAGGCACATTAACTATAGTTCCTCTGTTTGCAGACATATATCCAGTATCTGAAACTTACTGGTAGCATTTGCCTGCTGGGAAAAGCAATCCTAATTATGCATGAGAAGTTAATCATATTAAATATATATAATAGTATATCATTTTATTTATATTTCTTACTATTCTAGTATGATCAAAGTACACTGAAGGCAGAAAGAATCCTTATAAAGTGCTTTGTAATTCTGGGTAGGGAGAATGAAATGATCATTCACTACAGTACAATAATATAACAAAAATAAAAAAACAATAATACACATAATAATGTGACTTTCAACTACTAAGACAATAGAATAGGGAAAAACTTAGTATCTGATTCCTAATTAGATATACAGCTTTTTTTTAATGTGAAACTTTGACATTTCTGCATAATAGTAGGAAAAAACATAAAACAAATGAGAAAGAATAGGCAATACAGCCCTGGCTGGTGTGGCTCAGTGGATTGAGCACCAGCCTGCGAACCAAAAGGTCATCCGTTTGAATCCCAGTCAGGGCACATGCCCGAGTTGTGGGCCAGGTCCCCAGTAGGGGGCATGAGAGAGGCAACCACACATTGATGTTTCTCTCCCTCTCTTTCTCCCCTCTTCCCCTCTCTCTAAAAATAAATAAATAAAATCTTTTTAAAAAGACAATGTAAGAGAAAAGCTAAAGGCCAGAGTAAGTGAAATTACCATGTCAAAAGGATAACCACAAAAGTATACCAATCATTCAGAAGGTACCTTCGTTCAGAAGATGAAGGAATTCAGGTGCTTTTTCCCGAAAAACCCTTTGAGCATCCTCAGCTTTCATGGACACTTCCTTTGTCTGAATCAGGAAAAAGCCTGCACGAATCATCTGTGGAAAATAAAATTTCAGTTAGATTTTAAAATTATCTCTGAGATTAAAATAATATTTCCTAGTATTGTTCTGTATAAAATGTGACACAGCTTGCTGATTTTTGTTTTAGTTATAACTCTAATTCAGAGTGTTTGCTGTAACAAGTTTTCATATACACAATAGTTTTTCTTCCAGATGCATGGCTCTGGTTAAGAACTAGTACCACAATGCCTACCACTAAGACTAAGGGTCAAATAAACGTGAATGATCCCTCAAAATTTTAAATATAATTAAATTTTTTTGGACTGAAACTAACAAATGGAAATGTTGGTGATACTACAAAATTTCTAATGAGAGGAGAATGGTGAAGTAAATTATGGTACACTGACATAAAATACCCGATTCAACATAACAAAGAGTAAAATGGGGGAAAGCTTATATAACAATGTTAATTTTTAAAAGCATGATACAAATTTATAGAGTATAGCACAATAATGGTAGATTACATTTATGGAGTACTCACTTTGCACCAGGCACTTTTAGGCACTTTAGGTGTATAATATACTTAAACAGCTCATGAGGTAGGTACTATTATTCTCATTTTACCAATAAGAAAACTGCCCAAAGTCACACAACTATTAAGTAAGAGTTGTGATTAAAACCCAATTAATCAACCTCTGGTCAAAATAGTGGAGTAGTCAGACATGACCCACCTCTTTGCACAACCACATCAAAATTATAACTAAAATATACAACAACCATCACTATAACCATCAGATATCAAGTTGAATGAAAGTCTGACAACTACGGAATTAAAGAAACTACATCCATCTGGACTGGTAGGAGGGGTGCAAATGTGGAATAGGCTGGTCCCACACCCATGCATGGTGGGTAAAAATTTTGGGAGGGATATCTCGGGAGCAAGGAATCCCAGGTCCATATCAGGACACCCAGCACAGGGTTCCAGTACCAGGAAGATAAGTCCCATAACTTCTGGTAGCAAAAACGGATGGGGATTGAGTCCAGAAGAAACTGCTTGGAGCCCCAAGCAGTTCCTCTTAAAGAACCCACACACAGACTCACCTACTCAGACTCCCTCCCTCTGAGCTCCAGCACTGGGGTAGCAGCTTGAAATGTACCAATGGTAATACAGGGAGACACTGAACTGAAATGTCCGGCATCAAGGATAGCAGAGGCCATTGTCCCTTTGCCAAACTCTCTTGCCACACAGCCAGTAAGCTGGTTCCATATCTGAGACTCCATCAACCTGCCTAATACTGTTTGATCCACCTTGGAGATCCCTAAAGACTCTGCCCTATCCAACTTCTTGGCCCATCCAATCTGCTTTTCCATATCCATGGCTGGTCTTGGCTCATGCTTCACAACTTGTAAATCCTCTCAAACATGCAAGGACTGGCTTTAGTGAGCCTCCAGGCCAGGTACTATCAGAAGCCAGCTTAGATTCTCGTCTTGGCTTCCCCTGGGAATCTCCAGCCCTGCACAAGTATCAGCCATCTCAGATAGCTTTATAGCTCAGGCAGGGTGATCTGGGCAAAACACAGGTGGGGGCTGACCTTGGCCTGCACCACCTGGGAAATCCCAGGGCCAGTGCACCCAGTGGACAGCTACAGTCCACACTGGAGCACCACCACTCTGTGCCTGCAGAGCTCATCCTCCACGAAGGGTGGAAGTTGGTGGTCAATGGTCACAGCCAGTCCTTGCAGCTAACTGGCCTGGGTAAATCCCTCCCATTGATCATTGATCTGCCAATAGCAACCAAGGCTCAACTATAAGAGAAGGGAATAATCAACCCATAAAAAGGGCATACTTCAAGTACCCAGCTTGGCTGATAGGGGAGGCTGTGCCACTGGGCCCTATAGGACACCTACTACATTAGACCACACTACTAAGACACAGAGTCAAAGCAGCCGTACCTAATACATAGAAACAGACACAGGGAGGCTGCCAAGATGAGGAGACAAGGAAACACGGCCCAAATGAAAGAACAGATCAAAACTCCAGAAAAGGAGCTAAATGAAATAGAGATAAGCAATGTATCAGATGCAGAATTCAAAACACTGGTTTAAGGATGCTCAAGGAACATAGTGAGGGCATCAGCAGCATTAAAAAAAGATCCACTCAGAAATGAAGGATACACGAATTGAAATAAAGAACAATTTACAGAGGAACAACAGTGGAATGGAGGAAGCCAAGAATCAAATCAATGACTTGGAACATAAGGAAGCAAAAAACAACCCATCAAAACAAGAAGAAAAAAGAATCAAAAAAATGAGGAGAGTATAAGCAGCCTGTGGAACAATTTGAGGGTTCCAACATTCACACCATAGGGCTGCCAGGAGAAGAGAAAGAGCAAGAAATTGGAAATCTATTTGAAAAAGTAGTGAAAGAAAACTTCCCTAAGTTGGTGAAGGAAATAGACATGCAAGTCAGGAAGCACAAAGAATTCTAAACAAGATGGATGCAAAGAGACCTACTCCAAGACACATCATATTTAAAATGCCAATGGTTAAAGATAAAGAGAGACTTCTAAAAGCAGCAAGAGAAAACCAGTTAGTTACCTACAGGGGAGTTCCCATAAGACTGTCAGCTGATTTCTCAAAAGAAACTTTGCAGGCTAGAAGGGATAGGCAAGAAATAGTCAAAGTCATGAAAAGCAGGGACCTATAGTCAATATCGCTCTACCCAGCAAAGCTATCATTTAGAATCAAAGGACAGATAAAGAGCTTTCCAGACAAGAAAAAACTAAAGGAGTTCATCATCACCAAACCATCATTATATAAAATGTTAAAGGGACTTATTTAAGAAAAAGATCAAACTATGAACAACAATATGGCAAATACATATATATCAACAAATTTGAATCTAAAAATCAAACTAAGCAAACAAGAACAGAGGCAGAGATTATCAGTGCCTATCAAATATCCAGTAAAACTGATGAAAGGAGATTCACCCCTAGACACATCTTGGCGAAATTTGGGAATTGCAGTGATAAAGAAAAAATTCTAAATGCTTCCAGAGAGAAAAAAGAGATAATTTATAGAGGAATAACAGTCAGATTGACAGCAGACTTATCATTGGATACGCTGGATGCTAGAAGTCAAAGGGGCAAAAGACTTTAACCCTAGAATTCTATGCCCAGCCAAACTGGCATTTGCTTTTGAGGGTAAAGCAAGGATATTTTTTGATACTGAAGAATTCAGAAAGTTTATTTCTCATATACCCCTTTTGAAAGATTTACTGGAGGATTTATTTTAGCAATCTAGGGTGAGCGTAAACACATACAATATATTTTTCTTCCTGAACCAAAAACCAACAAGGGAACCTGGAATATAAAATGTCATATTTTTATCCCAAAACATGGACAGCTAACAGTATACTTGAGGATTAAGGGAAAAAATGATTACAAATATTACCTACGTGTTGGTAAGGTTGAAGGGTGTATTAAAATTTTTCATGCTAATTCTAATTTGTGGGGGAGCGAATCTGTCAATGTAACCATAAATAGGAAAGGTGCAGGGAAGGAGTAATAAAAAAGCCTAGAAAAAAAATGTCAGGATAGTTCAAGAGAAAAGAATACAAACGTTGAACTCTCAAGAGAAGGATATTTGAATTTTATCATTTATCATAATGTAAATCTTAAACTTTTTCCTTTGAGTATGCATTTTCTTATTAAATATTTTCTATTCTAAAAAAAAAGAACAGAGGCAGAATCATGGATATGGAGAGGGTTTTGATTGTTGCTAGATGGGAGGGGGTGGGGGAGAATGGGTGAAGAGGTGAGGGAATTAAGGAGTACAAATAGGTAATTACATAATAGCTATGGGGATATAAAATACAGTATAGGAAATGGAGTAGTCAAAGAACTTATATGCATGACCCATGGACTTGAACAACTGTGGGGGGCGTGGGGGTGCTGAGTGGATGGGGGCAAAGGGGGAAAAGTTTGGACAAGTGTAATAGCATAATCAATAAAATATAATTAAAAAATAATACCCAATTAATCTGATTATACTAAATAAATTAAAAATTATTCCTAAAAAGACTATTCAAAGTATAGTACAATATAACTTTTAAACTTATTTCTATTCTTTACTTTTATACTTTACTACAAGGAGTACATATTAATTCTTATAATAATTATTAGTTTTTAAAATACAGTCAAACACTTAATTTTTTAGCAAAGCCTACTGTGTTTTTAATATAAAAGTAACATATATGCTCAATACAAAACATATGAAAAACAAAAATAGAAGAAATATCAACCAAGATGCTAACACTCAAAGATGCCTCTGCCATATAGGTATACTTCTGTCTAGTCTCCCAGTTTACTTTCCCCCATTACAGAAATAGTACATGTTGATTGTAAACTCCTTAAAACTACACAAAAGTAAAGAATACCCTTTTCTTAATTCATTTCTTAGGATTAACCATAACTGTTTATTTAACTGTGAACATTTTCCAGATACTCTACTATAAAGTCAGTTTTAATGGCTGACAGTATTTCATCCTATTAATACATTATTCCTTACTATTCCATTAAATTGAATTCAAACTCAAATTCTTCTTCACAGCCTTCAAAGCTAACTCAGAAAAAAACATAAATTAAAAAGTAGCAGAAACTTACATGGACATCACTGCCAGGTAACTGCAAAGTTACTTAAAATAGTAGAAACAATCCTACAGCTGTTTCTAATTTTCTAGACTGCTCCTTACTTCTCACTTTACAATCAGATACCTAAACTGAAGAAAGCAAGATGATTAATTCAAAATACTGTTATCTAAAAACAAATAATGAACTGTGAAACTTTATTTTGCTATTTTACTGTAGATATTTGAAGAAACTTTTTCATGAAAATTATTCTTTCTTTCTAAAGTATATTTTATTGATTATGCTATTACAGCTGTCCCATTTTTTTCTCCTTTATTCCCCCTCTGCCATGCATCTCCCAACCCTTCAGCATTACCCCCTTAGTTCATGCCCATGGGGCATACATATAAGTTCTTTAACTTCTGTTTCCAATAGCATTCTTAACTTCTCCCCGTCTATTTTATGCCTACCAATTATGCCTCTTATTCTCTGCATCTCTCCCCGATTTTACCCGCCCCCCCCACCGAAAACCCTCCATGTGATCTCCATTTCTCTGATTCTGTTCCTATTCTGGTTGCTTGCTTAGTTTTTGTTTTCAATTTTTTAGGTTCAGTTGTTGATAGTTGTGAGTTTGTTTTCATTTTACTGTTCAGTTTTTCATCCTCTTTTTCTTAGATAAGTCCCTTTAACATTTCATATAATAAGAGCTTGGTGATGACGAACCCCTTTAACTTGACCTTATCTGGGAGGCACTTTCTCTGCCCTTCCATTCTAAATGATAGCTTTGCTGGATAGAGTCATCTTGGATGCAGTTCCTTGCCTTTCATGACTTCAAATACTTCTTTCCAGGTCCTTCTTGCCTGTAAGGTCTCTTTTGAGAAATCAGCTGATAGACTTATGGGTACTCCTTTGTAGATAACTCTCTCCTTTCCTCTTACTGCTTTTCAGATTCTCTCTTTATCTTTAATCTTGAGTAACTTAATAATGATGTGCCTTGGTGTGTTCCTGTTTGTGTCCAATTTCTTTGGGACTCGCTGGGCTTCCTGGAGGTCTGTTTTCTTCACCAGATTGGGGAAGTTTTCCTTCATTATTTGCTCAAATGATTTTTCAATTTATTGCTCTCGTTCTTCCCTTCTGGTACCTCTATGATTCTGATACTAGGTTGCTTAAAGTTGTCCCAGAGTTTCCTAAGCCTCTCTTCATTTTTCTGAATTCTTGTTTCTTCATTCTGTTCTGGTTGGATGTTTATTTCTTCCTTTTATTCCAAATCATTGGTTTGAGTCCTGGTTTCTTTCCCTTCACTGTTGGTTCCCTGTATATTTTGTTTTATTTCACTTTGGGTAGCCTTCATTTTGCAACTGAGCTCAATCAGTTCTGTGAACATCCTGATTACCAGTGTTTTGAACTCTGCACCAGATAGGTTGGTTATCTCCTCTTCACTTAGCTCTTTTTCTGAAGTTTTGATTTGTTCTTTCATTTGGGCCATATTTCTTTGTCTCGGTGCACCTGTTAGGTTGTAAGGGTTGGGGCTTTAGGTATTCACTAGGGCCAGCAACCCTCTTTGCTGCATTGTGGTGATGTCTGTTGGGGAGAGGTCAGAGAGTGAACAATGTGTCTTGCTTGCCCTGATCTAGCCCCACTTTCCAACCATCTCTTGTGTGAGACTGGTAGTTTCTCCTGCTGTGGTAACTCCAGCAGTATTTTACAGCTAGCTTTGAGTCTTTAGTTTCCCATTCAGTCAGCCCTGTCTTGCCCATGTGGCCTGCCACCTTGCTGTAAATCCTCTTGCTTGCATCCTCTCCCTCTGCTGTTCATCTCCTATTGGTCTAGGTGAATGTTTGTTTAACTCTTTGGTTGCTGCAGTTTCATGCAGTTTGACTTTCTGGCACTTCTAGTTGTTTATTATTTTTAGATTGGTTGTTATCCTTCTTTTGGTTGTGCAAGGAAGCGAAGCATTTCTACCTATGCCTCCATCTTCTACTGGAACTCCTCTTCTACTTTTTAAAGACTTGAAAATAATGGTAACACCTAACTTGAACTATGCAATATTTCTAAACAATTCAAACTACTTTTATTCTAATTTATCCTGTGCATATATTTGATCTTACTAAGAGCCAGCTAGAAATCTGAGTTTTAGGTGAGACAATCAAGGCCCAATAATTTCTTGACTCCCTAGAGCTTTTTGCTTTTACCCAGCTTTTCTGGACTTTCTACCCTCTTGAGTTTTATACTTCCTATCTCAAAAAACCATTAGGATATGTTTAATTTATAGAAATAAATGAAACAAAATTCTGTGATAAAACCAGAGTTAGCAATCATAGTTCCAGTGTAAAATTATTCTAAGCTATTTGTGTTATAATACAAGAAAGACTCAAGTTTCATTTTTCCCACCTCAGAATTAATTAGCTTTTACATATATTTTCCTAAGAACTTGTGCTTCATTTTTTTAAAAATGCAGTCTCTCTTAATATGTAAGTCACTGGTTTTCAGCATGTTTTGATATTCTCTTTGCATGTGCTTGGTATTTTCTTCTTTTTTATTTCTTTTCATACCTTAATTTTATGATTACAGAATTATGTAGGACAACTAGCCAAAAAGTCCCAGGGTTCTTCCTTCCAGGCTGAATGATAGTATCTGTCTTAACCCTATTAATTTTGTAAATCACATTCCTGCTCAACCAGGCATTTAGCAACTTTAACACTCAGGCAGCATAGCAGTATCAGGCTTAAGGATTAGGATGTAGCCTACATTGTTGATAACAGTAATGAGTTTCCTCAAAAAATTAAAAATGGAAATGCCTTTTGACCCAGTAATCCCACTTCTGGGAATATATCTTAAGAATACCAAAACACCAATTGAAAAGAATACACGCACCCCTACATTCATAGCAGCACTATTTACAAGTGCCAAGATCTGGAAATAGCCCAAGTACCCATCAATAGATGAATGGATAAAAAAGCTGTGGTATATTTTTGGAATGGAATACTACACAGCCATAAAAAGAAGGAAATCTTACCTTTTGCAACAGCATGGATGGACCTAGAGGTTATTATGCTAAATGAAATAAGCCAGTCAGAGAAAGACAAAATACCATATGATCTCACTTATATGTGGAATCTAATGAGCCAAGCAAACACAAACAAAATAGAAACAGAGGCCTGGACACATGGAACAGACTGACAGCTGTCAGAGGGGAAGAGAGAAAGGGGACTGGATGAAAGAAGGTGAAGGGGTTAGTCAGAGAACATATATGCATAACTCATAAACAGAGACAATAGAGTGGTTATGGCCAGAGGGCAGGGCAGGGGCTGGTTGGAGGCAGGCAAAGGGAAAAACAGTGGGACAACTGTAATAGCATAAACAATAAAAAATGAAAAAACTTTCAAAAAAAGATGCAGCCTACAAAGCCACACTGCCTGGATTTAAAACATGGCTTTATGTTTACCAGCTGAGTGACCTTTTGCAAGTTACTTACCCACTCTGTGGCTTATTTCCCTTATATGTAATAAGAGAAACAATGACACCTATTTCATAGGTTGTTCTGAGTTGAGTTAAATATCTTATGACAGTGCCTGTTATATATAAGTGTTAGCTATTATCATTATTTTTAGGTTTGTGTTTGTTCTAAATTATTTTGTATTCCAGAAGGACATCTAAAGTACCTCCCTCTTCCTGGTCATATTGCTCTAAAGGGCAAACAACACTGTCATAGTACACATCAGAAACCAAAGGTTAAAAGGTTAAGAACATATGATGACTCATGAGGACAAGTACTTGTTTTGATGGCTTTTTTTCTTTAAACATACCATATATTCTTTATGTCCACTCCTCATTACCTACCAAAAAGGAGTTTAACCTGAAAAATTTTATCTTTTGAAAACTGTTTTGTAGATTTTTAAAAATCACCATAGACTATAATGAAAATATTTTCCCCTCAGGTGTTGGATTAACATATTTTTAAATAGTTCAAAGGCTAGAAACACTTTTTCTATACCTTACCAGATTCACAGCATGTTTCCATCACCTTGGTATAATAAAAAAAAAGAAAATACCAAAGTCTTAAAATTATACTTTGGCTTCTTTTGTTTTGAAAACTAGACCTCAGATATACTTTGTAGATTCCAAACATCAGTTTCCTACACTGTAGACTGTACATGTACAGAGAGGTAGCAAGTTCCTCCCCTAAAATTGTTCCTCTTGACAGAACTGTTACAATACTTTAAAAATCCATTCAAAACAGACTTCCTGAGTTTTCCATTAACTTCTCAATTTCTGGAAGTTTGATCTTAAAATTCAAACAGACTCCTCCTGAAGAACATCTGATTAATGGATAATCAGATATCCTACTGCTGCCTCGCCACTGGAGCACTTATCTACACAGGTCTGCTTCTGGAGCCCCTAACCTCTACACCCCCAGTTATTTTTCAACTGTAAGCTGCTAACCAAACTCACCAAAAGCCCCTGGCTCATAAGTCCATGGCCTCTGCTATTCCAGCTCCCACCTCATTCTTCTGTACCAAGTTCCCCTTCATGGCCATAAGGCAAAGGACAATAGGAAAGTAATGAGAAGGTTGCTCTCATGGTCACAACAGGGTCCAAAAGTTATATTCCTAAATGTTTTTCCCATCCCCTAACCAATTAAAACTCCAAATTAATTTTCCTACTAAATAATTATAAAAGGTCCTAAGTGCAGTACCACACTTTTGTGAACCTCTGTGGAAATCATCTATTATAAAGAACGGAAATTCTTAGAGGGCAAAGAATTTTGTCTATGTATATCCAACCCCAGTTTCAACACCTCTAAGTTGCCATCAATTGCAAGATGCATTTCAGATAACAAAAATGTACAAAAACAAATGTGCATCCTATAATCAATGAAATATGGTAATGGAGTAACTCGCTCATAACTGCTTAATTAATGTCTAGTGAATCAAATTATATTTTTTAAAAATTTCTTTGGGAAAGTATTTTGAAGCCTAAGCAACCAGCTTACAGATAATCTATAGGGAACAAAGGACTATAAGTTAAGGATTGTCTGTATTTTTAATAGCCAATTTGAAAAGAATGGAAGTTCTCTGAAAAGTGGTGTGTTTCTTTCAGGTGTATTCTGTTTCTCTTCTCTCTCTCTCTCCTTACCTCATCAATTAGTTTCATGGCATTTGCAATAGTATAATCACCAGCAAATAATACCACTAAACATGATTCATCACTGCTCTTCTGTCTCTGACCCTGGGTTACAGGAACGATACTTCTATTGGCTTCTGTGGAAATTCGGACAGCTTGGAGCTCTTTGGTAGTAGGTAGAGGAACATGGTGGTGAACAACAGCATTTTCTGGAAGAAGGCTCCAGTTGAGTTCTCCTGACACAGGTGTAAAGTCATGGATATTACTCCAGGTATTATTGAAGATACTCAGCCCTGCATCTTTGAACTGGAAAGCTAATTCAGGGTAGTACCACTGGAAACAGCCAAACTTGATATTTGTGGAGGACTCAATAATGGGCTGAGTGGCACAGCACAAAAAGACTTCCAGCTTTCTACAATCCCGCACACGAAACTGTTGGCAGGCAAGTGCACACTTGCAATCTCTGCAATTCCGGAAAAACACACTGCCCTTAACGGGTCCCAGAAAAATGATGCAGTTAGTACAGTCATCAATAGTAATAGTAGCAGAGTGATCAAAAATATAGATGTTACAGTTTTCACAGTCTTGAATGAGAAACTGTTGTCCTGCCACCGTCCCAGGTAAACGACCCACTGTTTCACTTTTCAGTCCACTGAACATGTAGTCTTTTGGATCAACCTGCAGGGACAAAACACAGATCTTGAGTATTATTATTATTCAGCAAATATCCACTGAATGCCAGGCACAATTCTTAGTGCTGAAATAATACATTCCTACTCTCACTGACTTTGCCACATAGTTAAAATATGAATAGGACATTTTTTTCCCAACAAGTAAAAGGCATGAGGGGAAAACAGGAGAGGAAACTGTTACAAATATAGGAAGACTCAAGGACACATCAACCAAACAATGTGTGGACATTGTTTGGATCCTGTTTCAACATACCAACTGTAAAAACACTTTTTAAAAAATAATTGGGGAAATTCTCACACATACATACAGAATACTGGATGATATTTAAAAATATTTCAGCTCTGACCCTTTTTATGATGCTTCACTTTTAAAACTTCTGCTTCTTTAAAAATTTCTGAAATTGGAGACTTCCAGCCAAGATGGAGGCATAGGTGGAAACACGGTACCTCCTTGCACAACCAAGTTTAAAGACAACAAAGATTTAGTAACAAAAGTGCAACCAAAACAAACAGAAAATTGAACTGTACAGAAGTCCGACAACAATGAACCATTCACCCAGACTGGCAAGAGGGGCAGAGCCAGCGGCTGGCACAGAGGGGTGGAGCAGAAAAAAGCGGCTGGATCAACCCAGGCCTGCAGGTGGCCATTGGCAGATCCCAGGTGTGGGGTGGCAATGGGCGAACACAGTGAGGGCGCAAGGTGGCTGGTTGAACACAGTCACACATTCACACACATATAAACCAAGTGAAGGAGTGAGCAGTGAGATAGACCATTCAGGCTAGGGCCCCAGCAACCGGAATTAGAGCCTGAAAGCACAAATTGGAAAAACTTTCAGGGTCGAAGTGCCGGGAGAGGCTCCGAGGCTCACAGAGAGTTTGTTGGAGAGACCCACAGGGTCCTGGAGGGTGCACAGGCCCACACACCTGGGAGCCGGCACCAGGGAGGCCAGGTTTGCTTGTGGGAAGCAGTAGAGGGGACCAAAATCCAAGAGAGAGAGAACAAACGCCATTGTCCCTCTCTGACCCCACCCCCACAGATAGTGTCACAACCCAGCCACTGGGTTGCCCCGTCCTGGTGAGCACCTAAGGCTCCGCCCCTCATACATAACAGGCGCAACCTGACCAAAAAATTATGGCTCCAACAGAAGAACAAATCAAAGCCTCAGAGCAAATACTTTTAAGTGACCAAGAGATAGCCAACCTATCAGATGCACAGTTCAAAACACTGGTGATCAAGATGCTCACAGAACTGGTTGATTTCAGTCACAAATTAGATGAACAAATGAAGGCTACACTAAGTGAAATGAAGGGAAATGCACAGGGAACCAATAGTGATGGGAAGGAAACTGGGACTCCAATCAAAGGAGTGGACCAGAAAGAGGAAAAAAATGACCGAACACAAAGCACGAAGAAACAAGAATTCAAAAAAATGAGGAGAGGCTTAGGAACCTCCAGGACATGTTTAAGTGTTCCAACATCCGAATTATAGGGGTACCAGAAGGGGAAGAGGAAGAGCAACAAGTGGAAAACTTATTTGAACAAATAATAAAGGAGAACTTCCCCAATCTGGCAAAGGAAATAGACTGCCAGGAAGTCCAGGAAGTTCAGAGAGTCCCAAAGAAGGTGGACCCAAGGAGAAACAGACCTAGGCACATCATAATTACATTAGCCAAGATTAAAATGAAGGAGAGAATCCTAGAAGCAGCAAGAGATAAGGGGACAGTCACCTACAAAGGAGCTCCCATCAGACTGTCATCGGATTTCTCAAAAGACACCTTACAGGCAAGAAGGGACTGGAAAGAAGTATTCCAAGTCATGAAAGACAAGGACCTACATCCAAGATTGCTTTATCCAGCAAAGCTTTCATTTAGAATGGAAGGGCAGATAAAGTGCTTCTCAGATAAGGTCAAATTCAAGGAGTTCATCATCACCATGCTCTTATTATATGAAATGTTAAAGGGACTTACCTAAGAAAAAGAAGATAAGGACAGCGAACTCACAGTTATTAACAACCACACCTAAAACAAAAGCAAACTAAGCAGACGGCTAGATCAGGAGCAGAACCATAGAAATGGAGATCACATGGAGGGTTAGCAACAGGGGAGTGGGAGGAAGAGAAGGGGGAAGAAGGTGCACAGAATAAGTAGCATAGATGGTAGGTAGAAAATAGACAGGGGTCAGGGCAAGACTGGCAAGAGGGGTGGAGCAGAAAAAAGCGGCTGGATCTATCCAGGCCTGCAGGTGGCAGTTGGCAGATCCCAGGTGTGGGGTGGCAATGGGCGAACACAGTGAGGGCACAAGGTGGCTGGTTGAATAGTATGGTAAATAGTATGGGAAATATAGAATCTAAAGAACTTGTGACACATGGACATAAACTAAAGGGGCGGAATGGTGGGGGAGGGGTTGTACAGTGTGGAGGGGAATAAAGGGGGGAAATGGGACAATTGTAATGGCATAATCAATAAAAATTTTATTGATTAAAATAATTTTAATATAAATTTTTTATATTTTAATTTTTTTCTGAAATTGGAAACACACCCATAAATTGATGAATGGGTGTTAGTTTCTAAACCCTAACTGATTTCTACAATATTCTCCAGAAAATGGAAGAACCTGAAGGTACAAGAATCACACTATGTCAGAACTTGCATGTACAAGTATGAGTCAAACATTTATGGAACTATTCCTGAAACATAATTTCTCAAAATTCACCATTTTTATCCTTAGATATTCTAAATTAAGGCTTTCATAATTTTTAAAACAGTGTGCCTTGAATCTGTCAGATTACTTTTTAAAATTTTAACTGACCTATCAAAATATAGTCACTAAAAGGCCATTTTGATTTTTCCAAGTTACTTCTGAATCTACTTGCACTATTTCACCTCTTTGTGGGTATATAAATTTTACGTAAAACTATTCATGTACCAGAAACAGGCTCCCATACATACAGTATGTAAAAATTGAATAATTTAATCATCTTAATCATCAGCAAACTAGGTTAACGTGACTTTCTCAATACTGCATAATAAATATGGTATTTACTCAGTTTTACATATTGTACTTTCACTGGTCTGTAGCATGAGGCAACAAAAGAGGCACTTATTTTCCAGTCTCAATTTTCTCATCTAGAGCCACACAATCTCGAAAAAGGCACTTTAATTTTCTATATCTTCAATTATTCAACCATTTGAACACCCACTATGAGCCAGACATTGTTTTAGGCACTAAAATGAATATGACCAGCTCTTTCCATAAAAGAAATATACACTAGCCTAAACAGATTATTTGAAACCTACCTGACTGTATAAATGATAAATGCCCAGAATATTCTGGAAACACAGAGGAATAACACCTGGGGTAGGGTGTAAGGCTTCCTGTACAAAGTGAGATGAATAAGCTGCAGTTCATCGGGTAAATAAAAGGGGTTGGCATAAAGAATCCTCCCTTCACACCAGGTGAAAATGAAAGAATGAGCAAAATCAAACCCTTTGGAGAGTATGAGGAAAATTGAAAGTGCTTTAGGGTTACCAGTGATACTGGATTGGAGCAGATGAAGCTAGAGAAGGAGGCAGGGACTGTATTATAAAGCTTAGAAATTATCCACAAGCATTTGAGTACCACAGAAGGATTTAAACAAGCAAAATTTACATTTCATAAAGATTACTGGGTAAGAATAAGGAAATGTGGAACATGGATCTCAGAAACTGTTGCAGTACACCAGTAAGGGCTGTAAATAGAGCAATGGTTAGTAGGTAAGAGCAAGATGGGACAAAATTGAGAAATACTGCAGAAGTAGAATCAGCAGATTTGTAATACAATGGCTACAGGAGGTAAGGCAGAAAGATGGGTTTAAAAATATCCCTTTGATTTTCAATTGTTTTTTTACTACAAACCACATTAGTATATTTTTCATCACAGCCCAGTGTACTTATGAGTATTTATGCATGCACACATACCAATGAACTAAAGGTTTTACAAAATACTACTTACCCTTATTTTGTATTAAGCCCCCTATTATTTTCTATTATCCTACCCACAGGTTTGAAAAAATTCTGTTCTGGTTCGTGTGATTGGATATTGGTAGTGCTATACACCAAAAAAAAAAAAAAAGGTAATATAGGGGGCGAAACAGGTTTAATGTGGGAAGAGGTACTCAAGCAATTCCGTTTCTAAAATTTTAGAGGTGACACACATGTATATAAAAGTACAGTGTTCCATTTTGGTATCTACCAAGATATTGAACTAGAATGGTTGCTGTCTCCCCATTGCCAAAGATCAACCCAAAAGGGACTAAGTTAGAAAAGGGAAAACTATAAGAAACCCTTGTGGTGGTGTGTGGTAGGATAAAACAGAAAAGGAACCACTGTGATTTTTGCTCTTACTTCTCCCCCTCCCAAATCTTGAGACAACAGTGTATCCCCCACACCCCTTGGGATTCAGACCTCTGGTCCAGACTTCCTTTAGAGTAACTTCAGGGCAGAGTAGAAACCCTGTGCTGGTAAAGAGCTAAAAATAAATAGGTTGGTACTAACTTTGACAGTCATTCAGGACCTCTCCAAACACTCAGAGCTGATGAAATAAAATCTAAGGCATGTCTTCTAATTCTGCTTTCTCAATTATTTACCGGTCAAGTAGTCTTAAAAAATAAAATTAGGGGGGAGGAAATGGGAGGGAGGTGGGGAGCACGGGGCAGGGGGGCTGGGATGGGAGAAATAGACAAAAAAACTGTACTTGAAAAATAACTAAATAAAATTAAAATAAATAAATAAATAAATAAATAAATAAAAAGGAAAAAAAATAAAATTAATAAGAATACAGAAGATCTGTATCACACTTGAATAAACTTGAGTTCTGCAACCAAAAGTAGTATACTCACATTTTTCTTAAGCACACATTAAAGATTTTTTTAAAAAAATCATGTACTAGGTCATAAAGAAGCCTCAACAAATAATAGCCTCAACAAATAATAGATAACTTACAGGCCAT